TTGTTTGTTCTTATGTCTTCTGAGGTTCTGGTGTTTAAAAAATAAACTGGACTTACTATTTCTATTCAAAGTTTTAAGAGTATTGAAGTCTAAAGTTTTATGTTAAAACCCAAGAACTGTCCCGATAAGTCAGTCTGATTTATTCAATTTTAAGACTTTAAAGAAAAGCATCACATCATCTGCATTGCACCTGTATCTTAGAAATAACGTATTAGTATTTTTACTTTTACTTGAGAAACAGTTTGGAGAAGAAAATGTACCTTGAGGAGGAGTTACACTGCACAATACTTTTATATTCACTTGAGTAACTTCAGTAAATGGTGAACAAACATGATTCAGCCAAAATTTATTAGATCCAGACACAAATCTACAGTTTGTGTCAAAGTGAGAAGAAAAATAAAAGTTTTCTTGTAATTTAAAAAGTGAATGCAGTGGAATGTGCAGTTATGCGGTTTGCTATTTTTTCTAATTCCATTTTTGTCATCAGATTTTTAAACAAATTCTTTATATGTGTAGTTACACGAAATTCATATGAAATGTGAATTTCACGGTTTATAGCCAGACTGGTTTTGCTAGCCAAGGCGAGCTTGCCACTCACAAGATGGCGGCGCAAGTCGCGGGCGCTGCGTGTGGGCGGAGCTAACATCGCGCAGGGAGGAGGACGCTCTGCTGTGGAGCACCAAGTTCACGCAGTTCATGACGCAGAGATGGATCCGGTTCTGAACCTGGAAGTTCGGGTTCTGCTCCACAGAACAGGTACGAAGCGCCAACACGCAAAACAACATGGCGGCTTTTCTCCCATCCAGCAGAAACATCTCAGTTTTTCTGCCAGGTCAGGTCAGCCATGTTTTTACTCATGTAAACACCACCTCGCGAGATCTCGCGAGAATACCACAGAGTTCTGTTTTCATCCTTCAGGTTTCAGGTTCAGATGTTTCTGACTGCTGTAGAAATATCTATAGAATATAGATCTGTCTGGGTGATCAGGATACGCTGCTACAGTAGCAACTTTAGTTACAATGACTGATCTCATAGAAAATTCAGTGGAAGGAAAAAGTCACTTGTATTTCAGCTGGAGTTTGGATTAAAATGTACTTTAAATTTCAAATGATGCTTTGTATAATTACATCAAACAAAAACACTTCAATGTATCAAACTGCACTGAAAAAAGAGACGAAGACAAGAAGGAGGAGGAAACAGAAACTGAACCAGAGAAACTCTGGAAGACTTCCAGGAATCCTGGAGGAGAATTATCGATAACAGGGGACTGTGTCTGCTGAAAGCAAAATGAAAAGAAATGTCAGAAACTGAACATTCCTGACCTGCAGATGATATTCAGACCCACTGCTGAAAAATATCAGATTTTTTTTTCTCTGCAGACGTCCAACAGCAACATGTCTGCAGACAGGAGAAGGTTCTGAAACAGGAGGAACCAGAACCTCTGGATGTTAAAGAGGAGCAGGACGAGCAGAACCGGACAGGGGAAACCAGACAAGTGTGAGTTCTGTGGGAAAATCCAGAAACAGAAATCTGTAGGACTTCAGGTCCAGAAGTTAAAACTTTAAATCCAAACAAATTTACACCAAACAGAATCTTTGAAACCTCATTTCTAAAAGCTTGATTTATTTTTTGAATGCACCGTTATGGTCCATTGGTCCATCCGTCCATTGGTCCATCTGTCCATTGGTCCATCCATCCATTGGTCCATCCGTCCAATGGTCTATCCGTCCATCCATCCATTGGTCCATCCGTCCAATGGTCCATCCGTCCATTGGTCCATCCGTTCATTGGTCCATCCGTCCATCCATCCATTGGTCCATCCGTCCAATGGTCCATCCGTCCATTGGTCCATCCGTTCATTGGTCCATCCGTCCATCCATCCATTGGTCCATCCGTCCATCCATCCATTGGTCCATCCGTCCATCCATCCATTGGTCCATCCGTCCATCCATCCATTGGTCCATCCGTCCATCCATCCATTGGTCCATCAGTCCAATGGTCCATCCATCCATTGGTCCATCCGTCCATTGGTCCATCCGTCCATTGGTCCATCCATCCATTGGTCCATCCGTCCATCCATCCATTGGTCCATCCATCCATTCGTCCATCCATCCATTCGTCCATCCGTCCATCCATCCATCCATCCGTCCATCCATCATTTGTCCATCCGTCCATCCATCCATCCATCCATCCATTCGTCCATCCGTTCATTGGTCCATCCGTCCATCCATCCATTGGTCCATCCGTCCATCCATCCATTGGTCCATCCGTCCATTGGTCCATCCGTCCATCCATCCATTGGTCCATCCGTCCATCCATCCATTGGTCCATCCGTCCATCCATCCATTGGTCCATCCGTCCACACCCTCATTCCATTGGGATCAGGAGGTTCTGATGCCTCTCCAGCCGTCAGAAGGCAGGAGGCGAGGTCAGCCTGAACAGACTGGTCAGCCTAGACAGACTGGTCACCCTGGACAGACTAATTTTTCTATTTTGAACACCTTTTTGTCCTCTTGAGTTTGGTCCCTCACACCTGGGTAAAATCAAACATATTCTGAATAACAAATCACTTCAGATTCTTTATAACTCTCTGATTTTGACATATTTAACATGTCGTTCAGTGATGTGAGGAATTCATTACTAAAACTCTTTACAGCCATTCAGTATCCTGCAGAACCGAACCGTAAGAATCATCCATAATGTTTACTACGAGCACACAAACCTGTTAGTATGAACATCTAGAATTCTTTATTTTGAAGAGCTGGTGGGATTAAAAATGGCTGAAATAATGTTTAAGGAATCTAATAAACTGCTGGCTGAGCTCACAGAGAGCACGTTTTATCACGAGGAGGATGATGAGGAGGACAGTTTATCAACAAGAGATTTTAAATTACAATTCATGGGGTAAAATTATGGAACAAGTTAAATGAGAAGCTAAAACATGAAAATTTAATACAATTTAAGAGGAAATATAAGGAAGTCATTTTCACAAGCTATAGAAATATGGGTGAGAGTTGGCACTAATGTGTCTCTGTAAACTGAGGCTAATGCATATGAATGGGTGGGTAAATACTTAGACATGGAAACCCAGATAAAATGGAAAATTAATTAACATGTCATTTTCTTAACTGTTTGATTTAATAATGTGGGTCCATTTAAATACATAGGATGAGTTTATGGGGTCAGAGTTCATAAGTTTCTAACTTCTTCCTACTCCGTTTCAAGCATGTTAAGATTATTGTAGTAGAAAAATGGGTTTTTAGGATTTCTCGTATGATTTTATTCTTCTATCATCTTCAAAATAAATAAAATGCTACTTGCTATCTCAAGGCCAGCATAGATGACTATTCCTGTCATTTGCCAACGTCGGCCTATCATTATTCAGACAGCTTCAGATTGGGTGTGGCCTCCTGCTACAAGAAAGAAGCCACTGCTTGGTGCGCGCTGGTCTTAATTTTGGCCCTAATGCCATGCCATAAAAACAAAGTCAAACATGTGTAGTTCCTGATTGAACCAGTTGGTGGCAGCTTTTCTCAAATAACTAATGAAGTAGCTTCTCACTAAACTCGCTTTTCTTGGTTTGTCTCCAGGCCAACGGGGCGTTATCTTGGATCCTCGGCTCATAAAACAGGAGAATATTTCCAGACCGGACCAGGAGGAACCAGAACCTCCACAGATCAAAGAGGAAGAGATGAGTCCACGCCACAGTCAGGCCGCAAACTGAACTGAACCAGGAGACCAAGGCCGCTATTTTGACCTCTGCTAACGAGAAACAAGACCAAAGTGAGTCCAAACCAAACCGGAACCAGCTCAGAAGAACCAGCAGTGAAGCAGACACCTCACTCGTCTCGGAGGGTCAGAGAGACACGGAATCAGATCGGAAACCTTTGCAGTGTTCACACTGTGGGAAAACATTTGTGTGTCGAGCCAAACTGACGGCTCACACACGAGTTCACACCAGAGAGAAACCGTTTGTTTGTAAAATGTGTGGGAACAGATTCAGAACCAACGATTGCTTAAAGAGACGTGCAAATCCACACAGGTGAGAAACCTTGGATTTGTGACATCTGTGGGAAAAGATTCAGTCGGAGCTGCTACTCATCAGTTCACACCAGAACCCACAGCGGAGAGAAACCGTATGACTGTGAGGCATGTGGGAAAAGTTTCCGCAGCAACTCTGCCTTGCGCAGTCACAGCAGCGTCCACACGGCAGAGAGAACACACGCGTGTGAAGAATGTGGGAAAAGGTTCGGACGGAAGGGAACATTGGACAAACACAGGAGAACCCACACCGGAGAGAAACCGTATTTCTGTGAGACGTGTGGAAAACTTTTCAGAGACAGCTACACGTTATCGCAGCACGTAAAAATCCATCCCAGGAGTTGCCATGGTGACCGCGTGAGAAGTGTCACGAAACTTTCAAACTCAACACTGATACCAAGAAATGAACCATTTAAAAAACTGTCTTAGTTTATTATAAACACTGGCTTGTTTCTTGTTCTCTGGGCTGTCAGCAGCTATGGACACTAAATCCAGACAAGTATTTGAAAATCAGAATTTGTAGTTGTGAATTAGATTTTGCAGAATTGTAGAATAAAATGTCTGAACATTTCACTAATTAGAACCCAGAGAAACTAATTAGTTTAGATTAACATCGTCAGAACAAGAATCCAGAGAAACTGACTTTATAAATCAGACTACAGGATTATCGTTTCTTCTTTTGCTCTTTCATTTCTTTTATTGTATTTCCTTTTAATTCATGTAAAGCATTTTGAATTGCCTTGTTGCTGAATATGCTTTATCTATAAAATGACCTTACACGAACCATCTTGGTGAGCTCACTTCTGCTAATCTTCTAACAGCACAGCTACCATTTAGCTTAGCACTAATTGCTAACTTTAAAACTTTGATGCGCTTGGCTTCCCCTACAATACTTCCAGATAAATTTTGAAGTTGATGTGGCTGTTTTGTAAACTTTCAGTTGAATAAAGTTTGAGGTCTGTTGGTCAAACATTTATTTTGATTATTTTGAAGTGAGTGAAGATTTTTACGCAGCATTTCCATTTCCTGTCATCAAGTTTTCACATTCCCCAAAAACCATTTCAAACGAGAAACATTCAGGAACAAAATGAGTGATGAACATAAATACAGTATCAAAGGGCTTGATAGAATATGTAATGTAAAAATTAAACTGGAGCTGGAGGGTTGTAGGACAGATATTGTAAATATTTTCCGTAATAAAAATGTTTAGTTCTGCATCACTAAGGTCACATTTTCCAGTCCAAATCAAACAGCCTGATTTGCAAAATACATTTTTGTTCCTGAAATCTTCTCCACCTGTGATGCTGTGCATTAAGTACCTTGTTGGTGTTGTGCTGTAGCATTAGCGTCTGCTAACTATTGCGTTAGCATAGCGTCTTAGCGTTAGAGGAACTAAAGTGATGGCTCTGGGTTAGTCGGCGGTGGCTGGATGAATCCATTCACTGATTTTCTGTTTCATATGAGCAATAAAAACCCAACAGAACATTTCTATTTTGAATTTGTTTATGATTATAAGGCCACTGTGGACTGTGCAGAAGTTGGAAAGGAGAACAGAAATGAACCGACACCAGAACCCAGTGATACCCGTCCCGTTCAGATCCTCTCCTCCAGGAGTAAAAGTCTCAGTCTTTCTGACCCAAACTGCCGTTTATGGATCAGAACCAGGCTGGAGTGTCGAAGGCCACGTCCCATCTACGTGATAACTCAGGCGTCTGACGCAACCTGGAGCTTCAAGCAAACTAACATCAAATGATATGAAGAATAAAAACTTCTTCTTTGGTTTCTTCTGCCAAACTCAGAGGATAAGAAATGTTTTCACACAATCAGCCGTCGGAGTGAAGAAAAAGCGGGAATTCATTGATCATCCACAGGAAACGGGGAAGAACAGAAACTGAAGCAGTGAATCTGAAACAGGCCCGGTCAGTGAATCAGCTGATCAGAAAACGCTCCAGCAGCTTCCTCCTCTAAACGCTCTATGCTCTAAGCTCTACGTGAAGAGAAAAGACGTGATTCTAAGGCCTCTCGGTTTATACAGCGGCGACAGCGCCTGACACACAAACTCACAGAGTCCAACCGGGTTCCTCCTCTCTGCAGCTCCAGACGACCGCAGGAGCCACAAGGGGGAGCTATCGCTTCATTCTACTAGAAATCACACCAACAAGATTATTTCACAGCAAGTTTCTCCCGGAGTTTAGCTGCAAATATCTGTGCTGCAGCTTTTTCTGCTGCAGGATTCTGTGCTGCAGCAGCTTTCTGTGCTGCAGTGGGTCTCTGTGCTGCAGCAGCTTTCTGTGCTGCAGCGGATCTCTGTGCTGCAGCGGGTTTCGGCGCAGGCGGGTGCAGGCCGGACTCCGTCCCGATGTTGACGGTGATGTTGGTGTAGAGAGGCAGGTAGTCCCTGGAGATGACCTCGTACTCCACCGTGTTCATGCCGTCCATCTTCCAGGTCTGACGCGTCTTCGCCAACATGTTGAACCTGAACAGACGCAAAGTTAGAGACGCAAAATGCAAAACATTTTCAATTAAAATGATGTAATAAACAAACATATCCTTCAGTTTCTTCCGTTTCAAGAATCTGTGATCATTCATTGAACTTCTTTAGAAATATGGATTGTGGATGCTAATATTAGCATTAGCAATATGTTTAGCACTGAGATGTTATGTTAGCTTCTGGAGCTAACATAGCTTGAATAGGCTAACTCCTTCTAGCACAACTTGAACAACAATATTTTTTCCGGGTCATTGATGAAGCAGAAATTAAGCCCAGAAGCCGAGAGCAGCAGCTCTGTCCTCAGTTAGCTTGTCCGTCAGATTTATGGTTGTACCAGAAACAAAACACAAAAGTTCTGGCACTTGCATGTATTAAAACTTAGAAATGCAAGTGTGCTAAAAATATATTTTTTAATATGCCAAAATCTATGTAATTGATTATTCAAAATTAACTTTAACATATATTTTGTCTATTTCTAACTAAATTTTGTTTGACTAATTTGACTTTGTGTGGATAATAAGTATTAACATAAAATATGACAGAACCAACTCCAAAATACACTAGCAGAGGGGAGCCCAAAGTGGGTCCTGCAGGCCCGGCGTCACCCCGCAGGCCCAACGTCACCCCGCAGGCCCAACGTCACCCCGCAGGCCCAACGTCACCCCGCAGGCCCAACGTCACCCCGCAGGCCCAACGTCACCCCGCAGGCCCAACGTCACCCTGCAGGCCCAACGTCACCCCGCAGGCCCAACGTCACCCCGCAGGCCCAACGTCACCCTGCAGGCCCAACGTCACCCCGCAGGCCCAACGTCAACCTGCAGGCCCAACGTCACCCCGCAGGCCCAACGTCAACCTGCAGGCCCAACGTCACCCCGCAGGCCCAACGTCACCCCGCAGGCCCAACGTCAACCTGCAGGCCCAACGTCACCCCGCAGGCCCGGCGTCACCCCGCAGGCCCGGCGTCACCCCGCAGGCCCGGCGTCACCCCGCAGGCCTGGCGTCACCCCGTAGGCCCGGCGTCACCCCGCAGGCCCGGCGTCACCCTGCAGGTTTTAGTTTTCTCTCAGGTACCAATAACCTTTTCAGCAGGTAAATGTTCTTCTTAGGCCTCTAATGAGCCTCATTGGATCAGGTGCGTTAAACCAGAGAGAAGTAAAACATGCAGGATGCCGGTCCTCCAGGACCCACTTTGGGCACCCCTGCACTAGCAGTTAGCAGCTAAGCTAGCTCTGCAACTGGCATGCTAAATGCTAACAGAACTTTTGTTTTTATCTTAAAACATTGTCTACATAAAAATATAAAATCTTAAAAGAATCATAATTTGGTGAAAATGATCAACCTGGAAATAAAACTCTTTCCTGCTTGTCCACTTCTTCATGTGTCTGTGATGACGGGAAAAAGATGCACCGCCACCCTCTGGTGTAACTCAGTATTACACCCTAATTTAATTCCCCTTTACCTCCTGTTAGTTCTGTTAAATTACCAGTAAAGCCAAATATTAACTAATATGCCAAATGCAGGATTTATGTTAATGTGCATGTAAAGGCTGGTTGCTTTGACTAGACCATGGACTCCAGGCTGTGGTGCGGTTGGTCTCTACCTCTTGGGGTTCACGTCGTTGCCCTTGTCCAGCTTGTGTTTGATCATTTTATAGCGGCCGACTTTCAGAGACGGACGGCTGATGAACATCCCTGCCAGAGACACCCTGAGGAGGGAGAGCAGAAAGTCAACGGAAGAAGGTCAAAGGTCGGTCGTAAAGCATCGGAAAGGGGCTGACCTGATGCCGATGTCGTCGTCCTCGCCGCCCCAGCCCCAGTAGTTGTTGGGGAAGCCGTTCATCTTCAGGTAGTGCAGCGGTGACAGCGCCGACACGCCTCCAAAGTACATTTTGTACGGAAGCCTGGAGGGGACAAGCAGCAGAGACAGTGTGAGTCTACCAGCAGGGGGCGCCGCGAACTCTAACCGACGCTGCAGCGGCGCACTTGTAGCCGAACTTGTCCATGGCGACGGCGGCGTGCTTGGGGTTGGCGTCGCAGACGTAGAGGTTGCGGTCGTCCTCGGGGATGAGGTCGACGTCGTGGAAGAAGAGGCAGTCCCAGTCTTCCTCCCTCATCGCCTCCCGGAAGCCGACGTTCATCAGCTTGGCCCGGTTGAAGGTGTAATTCTCCGCCTGCGGCGCAAAAACACCCAGAAAACCCAGAACTTTGAAGAGAAAACATTACGAGATGCGCTGCTAAATAATGAACTAAACCACTTCTACCAACATAAATAAAACACATTTTTGTAGAAAACGCATATAAATTAATTAAACAGAAAATGAATGACCAGTTTCTCATGTTTTGGGTTTTTTAAGAGAAGTAAAACTTGCTTTTGAGAAAAAGTAGGTCAATATTTGTAGTTGCATTTAACCCGAAATTAAGATCAATCCAAAAAACTCTAATGGTAATTTATTTATTTATACATAAATTTTTAAAGTGTTTATTTGTAATATTTGTATAATGTTTATTTATTTCCAGGATGAATCCAGGAAAGAATTAAAAACGATTAGATTTAATAAAGAGAAACGATTTTCATAATAATTCATATTTTCCTGTTTACGGTTGATTTTGTGATCCTGTTTTCACCAGTAGACTGAACTGGTTTCCAGTCTGATGCTTTCAGAACCAGACTGGAGACATTCGGTATGGGTCGGTACCGAGTCAGTACCGCTCTTCCATGTCCAATTACAGAAAAAAATTTAAATTATTATTTTTTCTTATTAAAAGAGAATAATCTGGCAGTCATGCAGAGCAGCCAGCAGAGGGAGCAGCAGAGCCGATGGCTCTGGTTCTGGCAGGTTCTGCCGGGTTCTGCCAGGTTTTGCCGGGTTCTGCCGGGTTCTGCGGGTCTCACCTGGTGGATGACGTAGATGCCGTAGCTGAGCTGCTGCCGCTGCAGGAACGGGTGCAGGTAGTAGAGCAGGAACTTGAGGTGATGCTCGCGGTGGCGGTGCGGGATGATGATGGCGGTCCGGTGGCGGGCCTCGCAGTCTGGCGGCCGGTACCGCCCCCCACTCACCACCAAAGGGTTCTTCCTCTGGACCTGGGCCAGGGTCAGGCCGGACGGGAAGCTGACGTGGATCGGTCCGCCTGCGGACACAAAACAGGTTCTGGTTTACTGGACCGTAGGCAGAACCACAGAGCAGCATGGAGGCGGGCGGCGCATCAGCGGTCGCAGGTTTGATAACTTAAAGAATGGAGAAACAGCCACTGTTTTCTACCTGAACCACGATGAAACTGGAGTCGTCTAATTCTGTGATTGATGGGTTCAGCAGCATAACCTTCATATTTTATGTTTTAGTGTCGAAAAGGCAACAATTAAACACCAGAACCGAACAGAACCATCATTTCTGGTTCTGGTTCCGTCTCTGCGGTGGAACCAGCAGCTGCTGCGGCGGTGAACTCAGGCGACAGATTCATCCTCCGACTTTCACCGAGATAATTAATCCCAAATCCTCAAGCGGCCCGGCAGCGCCGCGCTCATCAAGCTGGACCCGCTAAATTAGCGGCGCTGTGCCTTTAAGCGTCGGCACGGCGACGGGCTTACATAAGCCCTGATCTCATGATAGCATGAAGATGCAAAACAGGAAACAGGAGAAGGAGAGGGATGAAGAGAGAGGGATGAAGAGAGAGGGATGAAGAGAGAGGGATGAAGAGAGAGGGATGAAGAGAGAGGGATGAAGAGAGAGGGATGAAGAGAGGGATGAAGAGAGAGGGATGAAGAGAGGGATGAAGAGAGGGATGAAGAGAGAGGGATGAAGAGAGAGGGATGAAGAGAGAGGGATGAAGAGAGAGGGATGAAGAGAGAGGGATGAAGAGAGGGATGAAGAGAGAGGGATGAAGAGAGAGGGATGAAGAGAGAGGGATGAAGAGAGGGATGAAGAGAGAGGGATGAAGAGAGGGATGAAGAGAGAGGGATGAAGAGAGAGGGATGAAGAGAGAGGGATGAAGAGAGAGGGATGAAGAGAGAGGGATGAAGAGAGAGGGATGAAGAGAGAGGGATGAAGAGAGGGATGAAGAGAGGGATGAAGAGAGAGGGATGAAGAGAGAGGGATGAAGAGAGATGAAGAGAGAGGGATGAAGAGAGGGATGAAGAGAGAGGGATGAAGAGAGAGATGAAGAGAGAGGGATGAAGAGAGAGGGATGAAGAGAGAGGGATGAAGAGAGAGGGATGAAGAGAGAGGGATGAAGAGAGAGGGATGAAGAGAGGGATGAAGAGAGGGATGAAGAGAGAGGGATGAAGAGAGGGATGAAGAGAGAGGGATGAAGAGAGGGATGAAGAGAGAGGGATGAAGAGAGAGGGATGAAGAGAGGGATGAAGAGAGAGGGATGAAGAGAGAGATGAAGAGAGAGGGATGAAGAGAGAGGGATGAAGAGAGAGGGATGAAGAGAGGGATGAAGAGAGAGGGATGAAGAGAGAGATGAAGAGAGAGGGATGAAGAGAGAGGGATGAAGAGAGGGATGAAGAGAGGGATGAAGAGAGAGGGATGAAGAGAGAGGGATGAAGAGAGGGATGAAGAGAGAGGGATGAAGAGAGGGATGAAGAGAGAGGGATGAAGAGAGAGGGATGAAGAGAGGGATGAAGAGAGGGATGAAGAGAGAGGGATGAAGAGAGGGATGAAGAGAGAGGGATGAAGAGAGAGATGAAGAGAGAGGGATGAAGAGAGAGGGATGAAGAGAGGGATGAAGAGAGGGATGAAGAGAGAGGGATGAAGAGAGAGGGATGAAGAGAGGGATGAAGAGAGAGGGATGAAGAGAGGGATGAAGAGAGAGGGATGAAGAGAGAGGGATGAAGAGAGGGATGAAGAGAGAGGGATGAAGAGAGAGGGATGAAGAGAGGGATGAAGAGAGAGGGATGAAGAGAGGGATGAAGAGAGGGATGAAGAGAGAGGGATGAAGAGAGAGGGATGAAGAGAGAGGGATGAAGAGAGAGGGATGAAGAGAGGGATGAAGAGAGAGGGATGAAGAGAGAGGGATGAAGAGAGAGGGATGAAGAGAGAGGGATGAAGAGAGAGGGATGAAGAGAGGGATGAAGAGAGGGATGAAGAGAGAGGGATGAAGAGAGAGGGATGAAGAGAGGGATGAAGAGAGAGGGATGAAGAGAGGGATGAAGAGAGAGGGATGAAGAGAGAGGGATGAAGAGAGAGGGATGAAGAGAGAGGGATGAAGAGAGGGATGAAGAGAGAGGGATGAAGAGAGGGATGAAGAGAGAGGGATGAAGAGAGAGGGATGAAGAGAGAGATGAAGAGAGAGGGATGAAGAGAGGGATGAAGAGAGAGGGATGAAGAGAGAGGGATGAAGAGAGAGGGATGAAGAGAGAGGGATGAAGAGAGAGATGAAGAGAGAGATGAAGAGAGAGGGATGAAGAGAGAGGGATGAAGAGAGAGGGATGAAGAGAGAGGGATGAAGAGAGAGAGATGAAGAGAGGGATGAGAGAGATGAAGAGAGGGATGAAGAGAGAGGGATGAAGAGAGAGATGAAGAGAGAGGGATGAAGAGAGAGGGGATGAAGAGAGAGGGATGAAGAGAGAGGGATGAAGAGAGAGGGATGAAGAGAGGGATGAAGAGAGAGATGAAGAGAGGGATGAAGAGAGAGGGATGAAGAGAGAGGGATGAAGAGAGAGATGAAGAGAGGGATGAAGAGAGGGATGAAGAGAGAGATGAAGAGAGAGGGGATGAAGAGAGAGGGATGAGAGAGAGGGATGAGAGAGAGATGAAGAGAGGGATGAAGAGAGAGGGGATGAGAGAAGAGAGAGGGTGAAGAGAGAGGGATGAGAGAGAGAGATGAAGAGAGGATGAGAGAGAGATGAGAGAGAGAGAGAGAGAGGGATGAAGAGAGAGAGATGAAGAGCCCCGCGGGCGCCGCCGCTCCTCTGTGTTCTGTTGGGCCAGAACACAGAGGTTCTGACCCAACAGAACCTTCAGGCCTGCAGGATCAACATTACAACATGGCTGCTGGACGGGAAATATCACAATAATAATAATAATAATAATAATAATAATAATAATATTAGGTGGAACTTGGTGAGACGAAGGCAGAAAATGTTCTGATCCGAATCACTTTGTGTTCTTCTCCAGAACGGCAGCGATGATTTGCCGGGTTCTGGCGGGTTTCTGCTGGGTTCTGCTGGGTTCTGCTGGTTCTGGTGGGTTCTGTTGGGTTCTGGTGGGTTCTGCTGGGTTTCTGGCGGGTTCTGCCGGGTTCTGCTGGGTTCTGCTGGGTTCTGGCGGGTTCTGGCGGGTTCTGGTGGGTTCTGGTGGGTTCTGCTGGGTTCTGGCGGGTTCTGCTGGGTTCTGCGGGGTTCTGGCGGGTTCTGCTGGGTTCTGCCGGGTTCTGCTGGGTTCTGCTGGGTTCTGGTGGGTTCTGCTGGGTTCTGCTGGGTTCTGGTGGGTTCTGCTGGGTTCTGCTGGGTTCTGGCGGGTTCTGCTGGGTTCTGGTGGGTTCTGCTGGGTTCTGCCGGGTTCTGGCAGGTTCTGCTGGGTTCTGCTGGGTTCTGGCAGGTTCTGCTGGGTTCTGCTGGGTTCTGGTGGGTTTCTGCTGGGTTCTGGTGGGTTCTGCTGGTTCTGCTGGGTTCTGCTGGGTTCTGCTGGGTTCTGGACTCACCGATGAGCGGGGACACCTTGGGGCAGTACGGCATGTCGTCGGCGTGGCCGTGTCCCCGGGACAGGTTGGACAGGTTGGCGTAGACGTCGCCCAGCGCGGCGCCGGTGCGGTTCCGGACCGGGCCGGCCGCCTCGCCTTTACGGAAGATCCGGATGAAGTAGCTGACCCGTTTGTGGTAGCCTTCCCGGGACAGCAGCGCCATGACGACCAGCTGGATGCCCAGGAACATGAACAGGAAGCGCCACTTGGACTGCAGGGTAACCATGGCGACAGCTGGACCAACGACGCGGTTCTGAAGGGTCCAAATGAGGACGTGAGGAGAAACGGATCGGTTCACGGACCGAAGGCACTTCTGGCAGGGTTTGGGGGGGGAAGCGTCCCCCCCAGACAGGAAACAGGAAGTATCAATCGGCGGGACAGGAAACGAGCGCCTGGCGATCCTTCAGCTCATCGCCGCTGCAGGTCAGCAGCGGGCCGACCTCTGCGACCTGTGGGGGTCCGGCTCGCCGTGGGGTGAAGGCCTGGCCCGCGGGCGGCCCGGCCCGCTCATTCTGCTGCCGTCGGCTGATTCTGCTGCCGCCCCCCTGTCATGGCCCCCGCGGGCCGCCGCCGGAACAAAGGGAGCGAGGATTACGGCCTGTTCTGGAACAGCGATGCTGCCCCGTCGCAACCGGGTTCTGGAAAACAACAGAGGAAGAAAAGGCGTCAACAGACCGAGCGAGAACGACCTCTGACCTCTGCTGCAGCGTCAGAAACAAACCCATTAATTAGTCGGTTAAAGCAGCCGGCCAGGCGCGGTAATCCTAATCCTAATCCCACTGAAGGCGAGCAGTGGGATCAGGCTGCACCTGATCTGGCAGAGGAGGAACGACATCAAAACAAAATCTGAGGGAAAAACTGAAGGAAACGTTGATCACAGATCATTTCCACTCAAAAGAAAAAAAACACATTTTTCTCTGACTTTAAAATTATTTTGTCATTTATGAGCAAAGATGATTTGTTGCTCCAAGTCAGATGTATGTTTTAAATTCTGAGGGAACGAACATAAAGCCCAGGGAACGGATCTGGAGTCGGTTTGTTTGGGCTCAAATGAACCTTCATCATCGGCTCTTAGGGAAGTCTCAGGGGAATCTGCATTAGCGGCTCGTCTGCATCACTTCCCTTCATGTCAATAAGTGGAATACGAAACAGCTGATCGGCGCTCCTTGACGATCTGCAGATCATCCGGTTCTCCCAGGAGGAGATGTTTGGGTCAAACAGGAAGTTCCCGCTGCAGATGATCCATCAGAACCGGCGGTCGGCCCAGGAGACCCAGGCAGAGCTGCAGAAGCTCAGAGCATCAGCGGCGAATATTTATCCTGTTTATCAGGACAACCTGAACCACGGGCCTGCTCAGCAGCGCCCCCGGTGGCTGTCAGATCGGTGAGGAAATGCTTCGCAAAGCAGAACATCAGGACGGGTTCACGGCACAGCAGCAGCAGATGATCCGCTTTAAATTCAGGACAAAATTTATTCAGACAGAATTGCTACCCACTGTTGGAAAACGTTCAGCAGTTCAATCGGATTTGATTTTTGACAAACGATTTGATTCGACAAAAGAAGATGGCAGTTTGTTCCAACAACACAAGTTCCCACATTTGTTGCTAATCACTTTACTGAAAAAAAAAACAAAAACAAAAAGAAACAAAATTTGTCAATAGTCGTTTTTCTGTATCAAAAGAAAAAATAGTCTGTTGCCACATTTAGCAACTTTTATTCTTTTTATTCTTAAACGACTATGAACAAATTCAGTGACTTTTCAAAGTACAAGAGGTCTGTGAGCTCCACCTGGCCACGCCCCTCAATGCCTCCTGGCTCCGCCCACTTTGGAGTTTTTCCACCAAATCCCAGAGAATCAATGGACTATTGACAACAAGAAGACAGTATGAGTATAAATTATTTTAAAATTGGCCGGATGTTAAATAGTGACTGATTTTTCCAGATGGAAATAAACTGACGTGGATTGTTTTTCTGTCCCTGTAATCTGTTTGTCGCCGCCGCAGCGAATGCTTTCAGTGTGCAGGGCATCAATATTGCATCTGCTGCAGACATAAGAGAGAAAGACCGCCATGAAGTTAGCGTGAGGTTGAGAGGAAGCTGGCGGTCATCAACAGGAGGTAAACTCATTAGTCTGAATGCGTTAACCCATGACATGCTGGAAGCATCTGTAATGATGACTGATTGAACATTATGAGTCATTATGAGCCGAGCTGCATTTCCTCCTGATGCATCATGAAGCCGACTCCTCAGACTCGAAGAGATCAGCAGAAACTCCACCAGGTTTCTGACTTTGTGGCTAATTTTAGCTCTTAAACTGACGTTTGCTCACTGAATGGAGTAACTTAATGTCAGTCTACATACTACTGATGGCATTCATGTTAGCACTTTAGCTAACATGAGCATTTAATCTAATTTTAGCAATGTTTAAGATAACATACTACATTCTACAGTGAGCATATTATCTAAAAAAGCATTTTAGCTGTTAGCCAACATGCTACAATTAGCTCATTATCTCACATTAGCATTTTAGCTCATTTTGCTTAAGAAACTGTTGTTTCCAACATCAGATATTATCCTACTGATAGTCCACATGCTAATTCTAGCTTTGTATTCATCAGCTACACTTGAGCTAATTCTAACATTAACAAATTGAATTAAGCTAATGTTATCCAACACGCTAGCATGAGTCAATGTGACACAGTTAGCATGTTGTCCAATTTTAAATTAAAAGCTTAAACTTACATCCTGACTAGAGTAATTTAATGCATGCTCAAACATGCTCATGTTAGCCAACATGCTATAGGAAGTATTTTAGCTAGCTTTAACTTTTCAGCTCATTTTACCTTATAAGTGCTGTTTTCACACTTATGAACATGGGCGTTAGCAACCTTTAGCATCGTAGCTAAACATTTTAGCTCATCAAAACAGACCGTTCTTATTGATGTTTTGCTCATTACGCTCCTCAGCAGATGGTTTAGCTTTGTACGCAGAGTTCTGCTCTGGTTTCTAATACTTGTCGCCTTCTCATAATTTATGACATTCCTGTAATTTACAGCACAAACATTCAGCTTTCGGCTGTGTTTAAAGCCCAAGTTCCTAAAAACTTCAGTGAAATTCCTTGTTGAGCCTCAGTCCAAGTCAACAAAGCTGGTTCTGATTGTATGCGGGTTGACCCGAGCCAGATGTTCCACACACAGCTGGTTCGGATCAGAACCAGTGAGGCAGCAAACAAAATGTCCCACCAGAAGCTGGAAGAACCTCATTTCTGAAATGTCTACATGGAGAAAAAAGCTTCAACCACCAATGACCTTCACCCTCTGACCCCTGAGGATCTGCTGAAGGCAGTCCAGAATCTGAGCCAGGAATCCGGGCCAGGTTTTCAGGGAAACCGTCAGCAGGAAGTCTGCTGCTGGGAACGCCTCCTAAATGGCAGGAAGTGGTTTCCATGGAAACAGAGGCATTCAGGATCAGATCAATCCTGTGAAGTCCAGATCAATCTTGATATCTGGAATCGTTTAAGAAACTGATCAAAACACGACGGATTGAAATATTAGTTCATGACTTCACTAAGGGTTCATTTGCTCGAATGCATCAAAGCCGAAATATTCATCCATTCATCGACCAAAAGTTTAGTTTTATTTTATTCTAATTACTAGCAATTAGTAATAGACTAATTACTAGTTTTATTAGTCATAGTCATAGTTTTAGTTTTAGGCGCAGAATTTAAAAAAACGGTAAAAGTTGTTACGTTTACATCGTTTGGATGATGAATACTAACAGAAGATAACGTCTTCTGAAGATGGACTCAATTTTTAACATAAACTGACTGGAGTTTTATCCCAACTTTCACCATTTTGTGTCCAGGAGGAGAAAGTGCCGCCGAAATTTACCAACAGCGGACGTAAACTGTTTGTATGGGGAAAAATAAATGTCACATTAATTCAAAAGGCCAATAAACAGATATTTCTATAATTTCAGCATATTATATTATAGTTCCAGTTATTTAGTTTTTCCCCATTAAAATTTGTATGTATTTCAATTAACAAAAATGTTTTCTAAGTTTCAGTTTTTATTTTGTTCTTTTTAGTTAATGATAACAACATTGATCCATATATTGATTCATCAGTTGATTGTGTTTTTAATCAGTTTCTAAAATGAAACCTGATCAGGGCTGATGAACACAACGCAGCTAACTTTTTATTTCTTATCCCAACATGTTGATAATTTTGTGTTGAAAGTGATTCCATACATCAGGTCCCCTCCAGTCATCTCTGACCTCTGACCCATAGGGAGCCCGGAGAGGTTTGGGGGTTGCAGGGTGTGAAATCTTTAACGCGTTAGTGCACGAGCACAGAGAGTCATTAAACGATGCAGTTGGACTGGAAAGATTTTTGAAAACAAAACCAACTTCCTGCTGGAGGTGTGAATATTTCCTCCACCTTTCCAAGCATCTTTATGACTCACATTTTAGGCTGCAGCTCCACCATACATGACATCTGCTGCTCTACGCGACGGTGCGTTCAATAACAAATGGGAAATCCAAGGTCAGGTGTTCCATGTTATTGTCTGATTGCTTTGATTTAATCTACAGTTCATCATGAAATAATAATCCAGGCATCCTCGTCCTTCAGATGATGTGATGGAGCCAGGATGAAAGCAAAGTTATGTTTTTCTGATTCAAAATTCATTCATGCATTGAAATCATTCAAATGCAAATTATCGTTACAATTTAAAATGTTTGATTTTTCTTTCAAATTTTTTTTCCATAACTTATTTTTTAAGTTTTAAATACTTTTTTATGTCTTAAATTAACTTTTTAGTTTCTAAATATGTTATTTTTGTCTGTTAAGATTATTCAGATTCTATTTTTTCTGCTTTAGGATTATTTATTTGATTTTTTTCCGGTCATTGTTTCAATTCAGTTTTTCTATTTCATATGACTTCTCTTCAAGATGTTGTGTTTCAAATATTTAAAAAATCAAAATTAAATCAAAATAATTCCCTGATGTAGCTCCGTAGAGCCAGCCGTGGGGTCAGCAGGCATCACCAGCTTTTTCTGGGAAAGCTGAACAGACGCTGAACGTCGTTCTCAGTCCAACAATCAGCCAGGAACAACGCGGCGGCATGGCGACGCCTGCCTCGTCACGGAAACACCAGGTCTGCCTCCACCTCCAGCCGGTCGCTCTGATGACTTTTCCACCCAGCAGGTGAGGTCCCGCCCCCACCAGGTACCAAGGCTTCCACGGCAACGGGGAAGCCTGAAGGGAGCAAACGATCCACAACAAAACCAGAGCAACAGGCAGAACCCAGCGGTTCTGTTTGAGATGCAAACGAGGAGATGCGACAGATTAATATGGATTCATTATCGTTTTAAACTCCAAACACAGATTTGGGCCCAGCAGATCGACGACTCGTTGTTTTTAAAAAATAAAACACATTTAGTCCCAAAAGCAAACATTAAACGCCTGGAGCAGAAATTATAAAATAAATCTTTGTTGTCTGATATCAGACAGGTTAATAAAATAAACTAGTTCATCCAAAGTTTAAAATTTTAGTAAATCTTTTTGTCTTTCTTTGTTAAATAAAACCATTCTGAGAGGAACCTTTTATTTGAGTGTTTCTGGTACACCCATTTCTCTGTTGCACAAACAAAGCGACTCCTCTTGACCCACTAGAGCTGCAAAAAGCATCTGACTGGAAAATACAGCTGCACTTTCCTCCAATCTGATGACTGAATAACTGATTAAAAACAATACATATTTGTTCTTCAGCTCATGTCTATTCTACAATTTAGCAAAATTATACAATAATTTTTAAGTTAAAATTGTTCTCAATTTGTGAATATATATTGATTATAATACTATTACCTCTATTAAACATCTTAATCAGCCTTTTCCGGGATAAAAAACATCTAAAAGCGTGTGGGATTCTGGCATCCACTGCAGAAAAAGGACCAGGAAGAGACAGACATCTTGTTCCAGATGTCAGAAAGTTTACGGTGAAACATCCCATCGGGTTAAAACTGTGGTGAAGCTGCTGCTCTACAAGCTGCATGTAGAAACTGGGACGATCGTTTTGTAAACTGCTGCAACCTCTTAAATCTTACATGTTTTTTGTATTTTGACAAAAGGTCAACTAAAGTACATTTTTCTAAATTCTGAACTTCTTATCCGTGGTTGTGACCCGTTTTTAGTTTCCTCTGTTTTTGCACCATGGCATAAAAGCCACCAAGATGAAAGAAGACTTTTTTCAGCAAAAAATGCTAAATCATTTTATTGTTTGTTGTTTTGTTTTAACTCACTGAGCAAAAAAATCCAAATGTATTTTGATTTAAAAAATAAATAAAAATACATTTTAACTACCTTTTATTCTAAATAAAAGGTAGAAAAAGGGTCTCAAAGTTGCAGTTTCCTAACTTGTCAGTCAAGATATTAATTTTAGTTAATAGGAGCAGCAGGAGGAGGAACAGAAGGAGCAGCAGCAGCAGGAGGCCCCCGGGGCCCTTTGTCTGGACCAGAACAGTGAAATGCCTCCGATTCGATGAATCCCGTTCCAGCCGTAAATCGGCTCTTCCAGTCGGAACCAACGGGCCCTGAAAGCGTCTCAGTGGACCCAACTCAGCTGCTGGTGAAACAAAGAGTTTCCGGTGATGATTAAAGTCGCAGCGAAACTTTTCTGTGTTCCTCTTTGAGTTTAAGTGGATGGGAGGAACAAAACTGACGCGGTGAAATGTCCGCTGGCTCAAAGGTGAAGCTGAAACCCGCTGAGGCGTTCAGGTGCCCTCGGATCACCCAACTCCAGAACCCGCGTTACAACAGCAGCGGTTCTGCTCCCGGTTCGGACAGCAGCTAACAAGTCCAAACATCTCCCAGCAAACACTAGCAGAACCAGGTCCACCCCATGGCAGCCGTGGCCCGGTTCCGGCAGCGGAACCAACTCTTTAGCCCCGGCTCGGGTCGCCAGATGTGGGGAAACCGAGACGAAGCGAGCTAACAACCGTTAGCTCCTCACTAGCTCACTGGCGAGCGCGACCATAACAACAGTAAAAAACTTCATTATTTAACTTCCTTCCTTTGTGATAACAATGAAACTCACCGAGATGAGGCCTGGGTACCGGACGACGCGTCCCGCAGTCGCTCCGCCGCGTTTCTGACGTGTTTGTGGAGCCGAGGCGGTCTGAGGAGGTTCCCTCCCCTCCACCACAGTCCACCGCCCACAACAGCCGGCGGAGGGGCGACGGTTCAGCTGCCCCGCAAAGTACGGGACGACCGAGGTGCCAAAACCACGCGGGGGAAGATTCACTCCACCGCGACAAAATACACTCAGATTTTCACTATAAGAGTCAAAGAAAGAAAATATTTAGTCTAAATAGTTAAAATTACTGAGGTGCCAAAAGTAGTAAAGATTCTCTCTGCTGCAATAAAAATACAGAAGTATTTAATACATATACTTAGTTTATTTAATTCCACATTTAAACATTTACAAACTGAAATAAATTTCGTTGCAAGGCTCTAATAATAAATAAATAATAATAAAAGTGTCAATGTGAAAACATACAATAAAAGATTAAACTAATGGGAGTTTATCATCCTTATGGCCTCAGGGATAAAGTTCTGCATTTGAAGCTGATGAATCTTTTTCCAGAGGGCAGCAGGAAGAAACGACCCTGCAGAGGGTGGAAGTGTCTTTGCATAATCGCCGAGTCGCTCCCAGTCCCAGGCAGCTACTGGAGCGACTGGGAGCTACTGGAGCGACTGGGAGCTACTGGAGCGACTGGGAGCTACTGGGAGCGACTGGAGCCACTGGGAGCTACTGGGAGCAACTGGGAGCAACTGGGAGCAACTGGGAGCTACTGGGAGCAACTGGGAGCTACTGGGAGCAACTGGGAGCTACTGGGAGCTACTGGAGCGACTGGGAGCGACTGGGAGCGACTGGGAGCGACTGGAGCCACTGGGAGCTACTGGAGCAACTGGGAGCCAGTGGAGCTACTGGGAGCTACTGGGAGCGACTGGGAGCTACTGGGAGCTACTGGAGCAACTGGGAGCCAGTGGAGCTACTGGGAGCTACTGGGAGCGACTGGGAGCGACTGGGAGCGACTGGGAGCGACTGGGAGCTACTGGGAGCAACTGGGAGCAACTGGGAGCTACTGGGAGCAACTGGGAGCTACTGGGAGCGACTGGGAGCAACTGGGAGCTACTGGGAGCGACTGGGAGCTACTGGAGCAACTGGGAGCCAGTGGAGCTACTGGGAGCTACTGGGAGCGACTGGGAGCTACTGGGAGCAACTGGGAGCAACTGGGAGCAACTGGGAGCTACTGGGAGCAACTGGGAGCTACTGGGAGCAACTGGGAGCTACTGGGAGCAACTGGGAGCTACTGGGAGCGACTGGAGCTACTGGGAGCTACTGGGAGCTACTGGGAGCGACTGGGAGCGACTGGGAGCTACTGGGAGCAACTGGGAGCAACTGGGAGCTACTGGGAGCTACTGGGAGCAACTGGGAGCTACTGGGAGCTACTGGAGCGACTGGGAGCGACTGGAGCCACTGGGAGCTACTGGAGCAACTGGGAGCCAGTGGAGCTACTGGGAGCTACTGGGAGCGACTGGGAGCTACTGGGAGCTACTGGAGCAACTGTGAGCCAGTGGAGCTACTGGGAGCTACTGGGAGCGACTGGGAGCTACTGGGAGCAACTGGGAGCAACTGGGAGCTACTGGGAGCAACTGGGAGCTACTGGGAGCAACTGGGAGCTACTGGGAGCTACTGGAGCTACTGGGAGCCAGTGGAGCTACTGGGAGCTACTGGAGCTACTGGGAGCCAGTGGAGCTACTGGAGCGGCGCCATGGATGGAAGGAAGCCCAGTCCTGATGATCCTCTCCAGTCAGAGTGTTCGATGCTCTGAACAGACGGAGTTGCTGTCACTTTGCTCTTTGTCGTCTCTCTGTAGAAAGCGATGAGGATCGGAGGTTTGATCTTCTCATCCAACAAGCTTTTCTTCACCAGGCCAGAGGTCTGGAGGGTCAAAGGGTCAGTGATCCCCAGGGATTTAATGCTCCCGACCCGCTTGCTCTGTTCATGTGTTGCTTTTTTTGGAGCCTTTCTTTGCACATCCTCCAAATTTAGAACGAATTTAGAATCCAGAAAAATAACCTTCCAGGACAGAAACACTTAGTTTTATTATTAATAAAAAACTGTGGACACAAATTTAGAGCATAGTTATAAAGTTCAGAGGACATTTACTTATTTACTGCAGCAACCCTGAACAGGAGCTCCTAGTTTGCATACTTTAGATTAGATTATTTTCCTTCTTTTGCTCTTTCCTCTGGTTTATTTTGTTTGTATTTCCTTTTCATTCCTGCACTGCTTGTTGCTGAAAATGTGCTGAATAAATATTCCCTCCGCTGCTGAGGAGCCGTGTGACTTGGAGCGGCAGGCAAGCTGCAGCGCATCAAAACAGGTTTGATGTTGTGATGCTTCACCAGCCTCTCCAAACTCGGCAGTGAGGGCGACATGGTGGCAGTGAGGGCGACAGTGAGGGCGACATGGTGGCAGTGAGGGTGGCAGTGAGGGCGACATGGCGGCAGTGAGGGCGGCAGTGAGGGCGACATGGTGGCAGTGAGGGCGACATGGCGGCAGTGAGGGCGACATGGTGGCAGTGAGGGCGACATGGTGGCAGTGAGGGCGACAGTGAGGGCGACATGGTGGCAGTGAGGGCGACATGGTGGCAGTGAGGGTGGCAGTGAGGGCGACATGGTGGCAGTGAGGGCGACATGGTGGCAGTGAGGGCGGCAGTGAGGGCGACATGGTGGCAGTGAGGGCGACATGGTGGCAGTGAGGGCGGCAGTGAGGGCGACATGGTGGCAGTGAGGCGACAGTGAGGGCGACATGGTGGCAGTGGGTGGCAGTGAGGGCGACAGTGAGGGCGACATGGCGGCAGTGAGGGCGACAGTGAGGGCGACATGGTGGCAGTGAGGGTGGCAGTGAGGGTGGCAGTGAGGGCGACATGGCGGCAGTGAGGGCGACAGTGAGGGCGACATGGCGGCAGTGAGGGCGACAGTGAGGGCGACATGGTGGCAGTGAGGGTGGCAGTGAGGGTGGCAGTGAGGGTGGCAGTGAGGGTGGCAGTGAGGGTGGCAGTGAGGGCGACATGGTGGCAGTGAGGGCGACATGGTGGCAGTGAGGGTGGCAGTGAGGGTGGCAGTGAGGGTGGCAGTGAGGGTGGCAGTGAGGGCGACATGGTGGCAGTGAGGGCGACATGGTGGCAGTGAGGGTGGCAGTGAGGGTGGCAGTGAGGGTGGCAGTGAGGGTGGCAGTGAGGGCGACATGGCGGCAGTGAGGGTGGCAGTGAGGGCGACATGGTGGCAGTGAGGGCGACATGGTGGCAGTGAGGGCGGCAGTGAGGGCGACATGGTGGCAGTGAGGGCGGCAGTGAGGGCGACATGGTGGCAGTGAGGGCGACATGGTGGCAGTGAGGGTGGCAGTGAGGGCGGCAGTGAGGGCGACATGGTGGCAGTGAGGGCGACATGGTGGCAGTGAGGGCGGCAGTGAGGGCGACATGGTGGCAGTGAGGGTGGCAGTGAGGGCGACATGGTGGCAGTGAGGGCGGCAGTGAGGGCGACATGGTGGCAGTGAGGGCGACATGGTGGCAGTGAGGGTGGCAGTGAGGGTGGCAGTGAGGGCGGCAGTGAGGGCGGCAGTGAGGGCGACATGGTGGCAGTGAGGGCGGCAGTGAGGGCGACATGGTGGCAGGGGCGGGTGAGGGCGGTGGCAGTGAGGGCGACATGGTGGCAGTGAGGGCGACATGGCTGCAGGGCGACGTCGCTCAGTGATGAAACAGTGTTTTTTGGGCCTGGAATAATGATGGCCGTCTCAAAGCAGGATGGACGGCAGCTCAGCTCAGTGAGGAGTTAAATAAATCGCTGAGGATGAGAGCCGGCTTCAGAACCTGACCCGGTATCAGGTCCTGCTGCTCTATGCATGTTGAGTCTCCTCACGGTCCTCTGAACATCAGCTGTCAGATTATCTGTTCCTCCAGAGGAAGAGAGGATTTTCTCACAGGGCTTTAAAACGGCTGAAGCAGAAGCTCAGTGCGTCCAGAAATGTGTGGCGTCGTCGCAGGACAGAGGAGCCTGTGACGGTCCTGATGCTTTGCCACATGAGCTTCACAACCAGACCAACGAGGAAAGAGTTCCTTTGAGGAACTGCTGAGGTGCCAAAAGGCCGACATCCACTGTACAGCAATAAAAATAATGAGACAACTTCAATAAATCTGACTGAGACGTTTCTTCACTCCAACCTTTAAAGAAACAAGCAAGTATGTAAAAATGTAAAACCAGTCAGTGAGTCACTGTGGAAACCAGCTGTGAACCAGAACCTGAGTAACAGGTGAGGCTCCTCAGAGGTCATGATGTCAGAGGTCAGAAATGAGGAAGAATGAGGTCATTGTTGCTTACATGGAGTTATGATTTAAAAACTGATCAGTTCTAGAACAAAATCCCAGTTAAAAGTCAACATTTCACCCAGAAGATCAGCTTTGAAAACCACAACTACCTGTAAGTGACCTTTACCTTTATGAAAGCCTTGAACAAACCTCATTTCTTCATCCGATACCAGGCACGGCCCGGGGGGAGACTTTTAGCTCCTGAATGAGTCTCGGGTCAAAGGTCAAAGTCTTAAATAGCAAGTCACCTGGAAATGTTCTGGTACCAGATTGGAAATGAGAAAAAAAGCAGCAACAGGCCCAAACTGAGACTTCAGGTTGGATTCACCCCAGCGCTGTTTAACCCGCTTTAGTCCAACTCCAAACCTCGGGTCTGGGTTCTGGAGTCGCCTCTGGTGGTTCGATGTGAACGCCAAGCGGACTGGAGACCGCTCCAAAGCAGGAAGCGAACTATAGCACAGAGCATTCTGGGTAAATACAACCAAAAAAACACGCTAGGCTAGTGCTAGCGGGAAACGGATCCAGAGACAAAAGAGAAATCCGCTAAAATCTGATGCTGCTCCATTTTTGTTTCCCTTTGGTGAAGAGGGAAGTTGCATTCAGTGTCTTCCTCAGAGGATTTTGTGTCATTTCCTCTGGTTTTGTGCAGCGCCCCCAGAGGTGAGGCAGGGAACAAGTTTTTCAAACGGTTTAATTTATTAAATGTGAAAGAGAACAGTTTTTCCAATTAACTAGGATCATTTCACACAAGAGTTGAAACTTTGGTC